GACTCATCTGGGGATGTGCACTTCAAAGGTTGTTACCTAGTGCTCTCAGTTCTCACCACTGTTTCAGAGAGCCAGGGAGAGAAAGCAGGACTCTAAGAGGGCTGAATGCAATTACGGAGGTGATGCCCCTTGCAGTCAACTCAAGCAGCACACTTCAACTCACCACACAATATCCCTAGAAATTTGTTCAGACTCTGCAGACATCCAAATAAAACTAAAATTAAATTAGGAGGCCCTAACCGGTTTGGCTCAGTGGATAGAGCATTGGCCTGCGGACTGAAAGGTCCCAGGTTCAATTCCAGTCAAGGGCATGTACCTTGGTTGCAGGCACATCCCCAGTAGGAGGTGTGCAGGAGGCAGCTGGTCGATGTTTCTCTCTCATCGATGTTTCTAACTCTCTATCCTTCTCCCTTCCTCTCTGTAAAAATATCAATAAAAAAAAAAAAATTAGGAGGAGCACAGATCAATTCTTTTTTATTTTATTTATCGATTCATTTTAGAGAGAGAAACATTGATTTGCTGCTTCACTTATTTATGCATTCACTGGTTGATTCTTGTATGTGCCCTGACCAGGGATTGAACCTGCAACCTTGGCATATTGGGATGATGCTCTAACCAACTGTCCAGCCAGGGCCGATAATTTTATTTTTAGCCGGGCCAATGTTGCTCAGTGGTTGAGCATTGACTTATGAACCAGAAGGTCACAGTTCAATTCCTGGTCAGCTTGTGGGCTTGAGCCCTACTAAGTGGCATACAGGAGGCAGCTGATCAATGATTCTCTTTCATTATTGATGTTTCTCTCTCTCCCTCTCCCTTCCTCTCTGAAAGCAATAAAAAAAAAAAATTTTTTTTTTTTTAAGTTAACAAGAAATTTTAGAGTTCTGTCTGGGTAGCTCAGCTGATTAGAGCACCATCCTGATATGCCAAGGTTGCAGGTTCGATTCCCAGTCAGGGCACATATAAGACTCAAACATGAATGCATAAATAAGTAAAACAGGGCAGGGGAGAATAAAAAAAAAAATAAGTAAAGCAACAAGTTTCCCTCTCTCTCAAATCAATAAATTAAAAAAAAAGGAACTTGTAGAGCTGTCCCTGATCTAAAGAAGACTGCTAACGCTAATAAATGCCAATACCCTGTTCTTCCCCCTTCTACAGCTCTTCCCCTATATCCTTTGCTCTCTGAGCTTTCTTGTCCGGACTTGCCCTCTCTCTCCCTTCTTCCTTCCCCTTCTATCGCCTCTCTATCTCTTCCACTACCACCTCCCATACTGACCTAGGACAGTGGTCAGCAAACTGCGGCTCGCGAGCAAACTGTGGCTCTTTGGCCGCTTGAGTGTGGCTCTTCCTAAGCCTTAGGAGTACCTTAATTAAGTTAATAACAATGTACCTACCTATATAGTTTAAGTTTAAAAAATTTGGCTCTCAAAAGAAATTTCAATCGTTGTACTGTTGATATTTGGCTCTCTTGACTAATGAGTTTGCCAACCACTGACCTAGGGGAAAGTGAGGATAGAAATTCAGACAAGGATAATGCAGGAATTCTAGCAGCTCCCTTTGGAGAAAAGCTGGTCTCAGGCAGAGGGGAACCAGCAACTGTATGTATTGCTTGGACTAGAACATAATTAAGGAATCTACCTAAAGATTTCCCTGATTTTCTCCGGGACCCTGATGGACTCACAAAGGAACTTAATGTAACTTTTAGAGCATGTGATCGTGGCCATTCCGACCTATTCCAATGAATGTACCTACTGGTTTCTGGGAGCAAAAGCAACAGAATTAATAGTTGGGGCATGCGTGGGAGGCAACTAATTCAATGTGTCTCTCTCACATTGATGTTTCTCTCTTTCTGTCTCTCCCTTGCCTTCTTCCACTCTCTCCAAAAGTCAATGGGAAAGAAATATCCTCGGGTGAGGATTAACAAAACAAAAAGAAGAAGAAGAAGAAGAAGAAGAAGAAGAAGAAGAAAGAGAAAGAGAAAGGAAGGTTATAGAAAACTGAAATGGGATTTAGAAAAAAATAAAAAGAGCCCAGCTGGTGTTGCTTAGTGGCTGAGCATCAACCTATGAACCAGGAGGTCACGACTGGATTTGGGGTTGATACTGAGTGTGGGGTGTGCAGGAGGCAGCTGATCAGTGATTCTCTCATCATTGTTTCTCTCTCTCTCTTCCTCTCTGAAATCAACAATAAAAATATATTTTTTAAAAAGCTCTACATTTATATATTTTAATTTTTTTCCTTTTTTAATAAATTTATTGGGGTGACATCGGTTAATATGATCATATAGGTTTCAGGTGTGGGTTTCTATGTTGCAGGATCTGTATATTGCATGTGTGCCCACCGCCCTGTTACAGAGCTAAAGAAACACTGCCTCAAGCTCCCACGCTGGGACACCTTCATTATAAACTTTCTAACTTTTTATTTTATTTTTAAAAATATATTTTATTGATTTTTTACAGAGAGGAAGGGAGAGGGATAGAGAGTTAGAGACATCAATGAGAGAGAAACGTCGATCAGCTGCCTCCTGCACGCCCCCTACTGGGATCAAGCTCACAACTCAGGCATGTGCTTTCATCAGGAACTGAACTGGCAACATTTCCCACCCAGTAAGCCATACTGTCGGGGCTTAATGTAACAGTCTTAACTCAGCAACTTCGCTACCTTCTCTGCCGGATGAAGACAGCAATGATTACGTTCTGCCCACTGACCACCTTCTTGTTCCTAGGAATGGTTTACAGAAAACTCCTTGGTAATGCTGACTTAACTTGGCTTCCAGATGGAGCTGTAAAAGGTGACCAGTGATATTACCTAGCTGGATACGCGATTAACTTCCAGGGTGGATATAATGGAAGGTTCTTATTTACCTCAATAAGATCTGTCCAACAAGCTGAATTAATTATTCTAACTCGGACTTGTCAATTGGCCAACAATCAAATAGCCAATATTTGTACTAATCTATCCCCTTGGTGTAGCTCACAACTCCAGAATGTTTTAGAAACAGTGAGGCCTCTTAACTTTCTCAGGACAGCGCATAAAGAATAGAAAATAGGTTGCAGAATTATTAGATGTCATACAGAAATCAAAACAATTGGCAATTATAAAAATTCCAGAGCATTCTAAAGCTGCCACCATGAAAGCAAAAGGAAACCACTTAGCTGGTGCTGCAGATTGACAGGCAGCATTAAACAGCCAAATTATCTAGACCCGAGACTGATCCTTGCTTCCTATGAAATCAAAAGGTTCACTTTTACCGTTCCAATGGACAGCTGCAGAAGGAAAGAGGATATGGCAACAAGGGGGAACCTTTGCCTTGGCCAGTGTGGCTCAGTTGGTTAGACCATTGTCTCACACACCAAAAGGTTGTGGGTTTGATTCCCGGTTGGGAAACATACGGGAGTCAACAAATCAATGTTTCCCATTCACATCAATGTTTCTCTCCCTTCCTCTCTCTCTCAAATCAATAAACAAATCCTCGGGTGAGGATTAAAAAGGTCAGGTATCGGGAATCTTTGACCCAGGCAAACACATATGGCTTGGACTCAATCAGAAACCAATCTTACCTATAGGGGCCCAACTCCCTATACTTCAGCATATACATGTAAATTATCCCAAAAAGATGATTTCATGAAGTAAGCAATATTACTAGAAATCTTCTCTTACTGTATCATAAAGTATACAGCCGATGTGCTATCTGTCCAGATATAATCCTGGAAAACCAGTCCATGGATCCCAAGGACATTTTCCACTTCCTTTAGAACCATTTGAGGTATGGTAATTCAATTTAAAAAAAAAATTTTTTTGCATATTTTTATTGATTTCAAAGTGGAAGGGAGAGAGAGATGGAAACATCAATGATGAGAGAGAATCACTGATCAGCTGCCTTCTGCACGCCCCATACTGGGGATCAAGGCCACAACCCAGGCATGTGCCCTTGACCAGAATTGAACCCAAGACCCTTCAGTCCACAGGTTGACACTCTATCCATTGAGCCAAACTGGCTAGGGTGGTATGGTAATTGAATTTTATCCAAATGCCACCATTTCATATATGATGATTTGTATGCTTTCTCACTGGGTTGAGGCATTTCCTGGCAGGAGAGCAACAACCTTAAGGCTAGGTAAATTATTATTGGGAAAAATTAAATCCCAATTGGGAAATTCCCTCTGAGTTACAGTGACTGAAGGACTCATTTCACTGGGCAAATAGTGCAATCCATTTGTAATATTTGGCCTATTTTACAGTGTTTTTATTGTGTTTACCACCCCAGTTCTCTGGGTGGGTAGAACATACAAATGGCACAATTCAAACTCAGCTAGGGAAAACCCACTGGGGCTCCCTCCCTGCCTGCTGCAGGGAGTCCCTCTGTCTCTCAATAGACTTTGCTTCCGCTTACAAAAAACAAACCACTCAACCAGGTTTATTTCCAGAAGCTTTTAATCTCTGTTGGCCAAAAGATCTCCCTATAGTGCTCCTCAACCTGAAATCTACTTCTTTTGGCAAACATAGTCTTTCTCCTTATGAAACAGTCACCAGTTACCCCATAAATCTGGATGAAGGAACATACGAACCAACTTTACTAAAAGGAGACATTCTGAATTATTACCAAGGGCTCATTACCAGCTTTTAGAAAATGATAAATGGGTGACATTTCATTTCCCTGCATACTCCTGGGAGAGGAAGACTTCAAAGACCACGACTTAGCCCGGCTGGTGTGGCTCAGCAGCTGAGCAGCTGTACCGCGGACGCAGGCTGCATCCCGCCCCATCCGGGCTCCTGCGGAAGGTTAGCCATTGATGTGAATCTCTCACATCCATGTTTCTCTCTCTCTCTCTCTTTGTGTCTCCCACTCCCACTCTCTCTAAATTGAAAAAATATCCTCGGGTGAGGATTAACAAAACAAAACAAAACAAAACAAAACAAAACAAAACAAAACAAAACAAAACACACCGACACATATTTAATTTTCAAGCGATCGTGAGACGCTTGGCATGCTGGCGCATAGCAGGCACGTGACACAAGACCGGGCAGGGGTAGCCTTTGGTGGGCGTGGGTTCGGTAAGCGTATTTCCAAGGAGCAAGATGTCTCAGAGTCCAGGGAGAGCAACGCCGGGAAGGAGAAAAGACAGCGAAGGAGGAAAGAGGAAAAGGGACGAGGTGAGGAGGAAGCAGGGTGGAGGGCGCCTGCGAGAGGCCCAGGCCGGGGCTGGAGCGCACGAGGCCTAGCTTGGGCGGAGCGGAGACCCCGAGCGGCACAGAGGGAACGCCCTGAAGGTGGGTCCGAACCGGACTGCGAGGACCTTGAGAGTCGGGGTGGAGCGGACGGGGGTCCTGGGAGCTGGGGAACGGCGGCGGCCACTGCTTCTGGGCTCTCCATCCTCCAGGGGCAGCTCGGACTGGACGCCCGGGTCCTCCGGATCCCGCCCCTAGGGGCGGGGTTAGCGGTTCTGACCAATGACAGGCCGCCCAGAGGCCCCGCCCCCGAAGCATCACAACTGTCCAAACCCGGGGAGCCCTGTCCTGGTGGGGGGATTGCGCGAATGCGGAATCTGCGGCTGGTGAGTGCGCACCCCCAGGTCTCCGCACCGATCCCGCCTCCAGCCCGTGCCCTGCAGATCGGGCCCGACCAGGCGCCGGCAGTGACTCAGCGCGGGGAGGGTGGCGACTCGTTGGCACTGGAGATTCGAACTGTTCTGGGCCTTGAACGCCGGGATGCGTGGGGTGAACAAGTGTCTTCGGAGCTGGTCGCGGGCAAGTGCTGGTGCCTAGGGCCGAGCTGGGGTGGGAGGGAGAGGGCCAACCCCCAGGGTCGGCCGAGGGAAGCCGCGCTGCACCGCCTTGCCTGGGCCAGGGCCGGGGTGCGGGGTGCGGGGTGCGGGGTACGGGGTGCGGGCTGGGTCCTGAGCTTCTGACCCAGCTGCCCGCCCTAGGACACCAAGATGCCTGACGAACAGCAGACACCGAAGGAGGAGGAGGAAGAGATGCAAGAGGAGATGGTGCTGCTGGTGAAGGATGACAATGAGGGTGAGGAGAAGTATGAGGTGTTGAAACTCAAGATCCCCGTGGACAACAAGCAGGTACGTGTCCCACACCCCGATCCCTAACCTGGAATCTGAGGATGAGCAACCCATCCTTCTGCCCCACTGCCCATGCTGAGGTCAAAGAGGTGTCACACCCACTGTGCCAGGGTCTGTGCTGGGTGACCACCATATATATATTCCGGGGTTCCCCATGGAGCCTGATGCGTAGCACTGGTAGACTGCTGAGTAACCGCGCAGCTAAAATCCTGTGTGATGAGAGCAGGCGCGGGGGCGGGGGGGGGGGGGGGGGGGGGAGAGAAGCCCGGAGCTGGGAGCCTAATGCAGACGGGGTGGGGGAGGGGCCAGGTTAGGCAACAGAAACCCCGGACCCTTGGGAGCATTTACTGTTCTCCAGGCACTGTGTTAAGCACCTCGGTTCTATAACATAGGTAGTATTTGTTCCATTTTACAGGTGAGGAAACTGAGGCCCAGGAAGCTTGATAGTTTGGTGACTGGCCAAGGTCCCAGAGTTAGTAAAGAGATGGCTTATCCGAGACCAGTGAGAGTGAGGGGTGAGGTGAGTGGCGACTCCAGGCAGAAGAAATGGGCCTTTCAGTGGCCCAGAGGGAGGGAGTGGGGCACGGGGAGAAGCGTGGATGAGCTCAGGGTGTTTGGCAGGCCAGGTAGGGCATTTGGGATTTATCCTGAGGGAGAGGAAGGTTTAACGAGAGGAGCTTTAATATCAGAATAGGAGTTAGATTTCCCCCTTCAGGCCCCAAACTGCCACAACTTCCAGTGCAGCCCTGCTCATACCTGGGGAACAGTTCTCTGGCTGGGCCAGGTTTCTGGGCCCAGGCTCTGGTTTCCTCCTGCAGGGGAGCCAGTTCCCAGGGAAAGACGTTCGGCTGCCCCCTAGTGGGTGTGGTGGGCCCTAGGGGGAGGGGACTGGCTGCTTTGGCCTCTGCTCCCAGTCAAAATAGCTCTGTAGGTCTGTATTTCTCAGGCCTCCTTGGCCCATCATCCTAGCTTACTCTGCCTCTTCTGGCCCTGTGATCTCCTGATCTCCCCATTCCACCTGTAAGTGAAGAACTCAGACTCCAGCCTGGCCAGCGTGGCTCCGTGGTTGAGCCTCAACCTATGAACCTGGAGGTCAGGGTTCCATTCCTAGTCAGGGCACATGCCCAGGTTGCAGGCTTGATTCCCAGTGTGGGGTGTGCAAGAGGCAGCCAATCAATGATTCTCTCTCTTCATTGATGTTTCTATCTCTCCGTCTCCCTTCCTCTCTGATATCAATATAAATATATTTTTTAAAAAATAAAAAGAGAACTCAGACTCTAGAGCTCAAGATGGACTTCCATCTCCATCAGCTACCAGCTGTGTCACCTTGGGCAATCTCTTCTAGATTAAATGTCTTAATTTTAAAGTCTTTGTGCCTCACTTTCCTCATTTGTAAAAGGAAAATCATACCCGCACCTACTCCTTAGGGTTGTGAGGATGAAATGAGTTAGTACATGTAAAGAGCAAGAACTGTGTATGGCACATAACAAATACTAGGTAAATATTATTCATTCTTCTTCTTCCTAAAATTTAAGGCCTTGGTCTACATCATCCTTCTGGAGGATTTTTTTTTAAATATGTATTTTTTTGTTGATTTCAGAGAAGAAGGGAGTGGGAGAGATAGAAACATCAATAATGAGAAAGAATCATTGATCTGCTGCCTCCTGCATGCCCCCTACTGGTGAACAAGCCTGCAACCCAGGCATGTGCCCTTGACCAGAATACAACCCGGGACCCTTGAGTCCCCAGGCCAACGCTCTACCCACTGAACAAACCAGCTAGGGCCTTCTGGAGAATTTTCAACTCATTTTTATCAAAGGCCTTTTTGGGGTGTATCCCGGGGCTGGGTGTGAAAGGGGAGACCCGCATGAGGGCGTAGACAGAAGATTGAGGGCCGACAGCTCAAGGCAGTGGGGAAGGTTCACAGACAAAGCTCAGTGGGCATTTGGCAAATGGAGGCAGAGGAGGGGCATTCCAGGAGGAGGAAACAGCAAAAGCAAAGGCTCAGAGGAGACGGGGCCAGAGAGCTACAGGTATTGGAAGCCGCATAGGAATTTTACATACGCGTGAGGTGATACGGTGCCATCAGAAGCCTCAGATCAGAGGAGACATGTTGGGTTTTCTGTTCAGAAGATTCACTGGCTGTTGTGGGGAGAACAGGCCATGTGAGGCTGGCAGCCTGCTCTCAGGTAGTGACAGCAGTGGAGACAAGACAGAAAGTTGGGGATATTTTCGAACCTTGATTAGACTGGCTAGAGCTAAGGATGGGATGGAGGAGGCTGGGCATGGCTGGTCATGAAATGTGTACGGAGTGCTAGACTCTAGACCAGCCGTGGGCAAACTATGGCCCACGGGCCAGATCCGGCCCATTTGAAATGAATAAAACTAAAAAAAAAAAAAAAAAAAAGACCGTACCCTTTTATGTAATGATGTTTACTTTGAATTTATATTAGTTCACACAAACACTCCATCCATGCTTTTGTTCCGGCCCTCCGGTCCAGTTTAAGAACCCATTGTGGCCCTCGAGTCAAAAAGTTTGCCCACCCCTGCTCTAGACAGAACATGTAGCAGTTAAAAGCATCGGTTCAAACCACAGCTTCACCATTTACCAGCTTTGCCTTGGCTTTCTCATCTGTAAAGTGAGATAATGAAAGTAAGATTTTTGAAAGCCAGACTGAGTATCTATCATCTGGGTGACTGGATTTGGAGGAGGAGGGTGGAATGAGGATTACTCAAACACTTCCCATCAACATTTAGCACAACACCTGCCCACAAGGTAGCTCATGAGCTTGCTGTGTGGTCTCCCTGAGTCTCAGTTTCTCTGAAGATTGTCATCTCTAAAGCTCTTTCTAGTGCTGACATCCTGCATCTCGTAGCTGTCATCACCCAGTCCCATGGCCAGTAATTGTCCAGAACAGGCCTGAATTATGCTGCACACGGGCGCTGAAGAATTCTCTCACTGCCTATCAAAATCCAACATCTCTAGCCCTAGGTGGTTTGGCTCAGTGGATAGAGCGTCAGCCTGCGAACTCAAGGGTCCCAGGTTCAATTCCAGTCAAGGGCATGTACCTTGGTTGCAGTACACATCGCCAGTAGGGAGTGTGCAAGAGGCAGCTGATTGATGTTTCTCTCTCATGGATGTTTCTAACTCTCTACTCCTCTCCTTTCCTCTCTGTAAAAAATCAACAAAATATATTTAAAAAATAAAAATAAAAATCATCATTCTCCCCTTTAAAAAAAATTAAAAATCCAATTTCTTCTTAATGAACACAAAGATATTCTCAAAGGGCTCTGTGCACATCTGATCCTCTCTCTGCTTAAACCTTTGAGTGTTTTTCTGTTTCCCTCAGGACAGTCTCAGCTCCTAGGCCTGGCATTCAAAGCTCTACCACCTGACCTCATGTCCTGACTTCATGACCCAACACCCATCCCATGCCCCAGTTCAAACAGACCTGACCCTTCCTCACCTCTGAGACGTTGCCTATGGGGTCCTTCAGCCTGTAAAACCCTCTTCACCTTTCCCACCTGCTTTCTCCAGGAGTTGTTCTCTCTTCTAGATTAAGTTTTAATTTTAACAAGCAAACAAGTCACCTGGGAATCTTGTTAAAGTGGAGATTTTGATTCAGTAGGTCTGTGGTGGGACTTGAGATTCTAACAAGTTCCCGGTGATGCTGATATGGCTGGTCTGTAGCAAGGAGCTGGTTCTCAACCTTGGCTGCACATTAGAATCACCTGGGAATCTTTTTAAAATCCTGATTTCTGGGCCTCATCCTCCAGAAATTCCGTTTCTTTGTTACTAATGTTGTGGCCCCACCCCATTCTCTGGCCAGATGACTGCAATGCAGGAGCCTCTTCCCTGGGCTCCTGATCTGCCTGCTGCCTTCTTCTACCCCAACATCCTGATAGAGGCTTTTAAAATGAGTCTCATCTGGTCATGTCCCTGCAAGGTACCGTCTAACATCTCCTCTAATGGTTCCCCATCTTTCATATTACAAGGCCCTAGGCTGAGATCCCCTCCAGGGCACCCCATCCAATACTCTCCCCTCCATGCATTCTGCCCTACATACTTTTTCTTGCCATTCCTGGGTCTTCACTGGCAAAACTGCCCCAGGGTCTTGCTGTGCCCTCTGTAGCCTGCTTTCTCACTTCTTTTAGTTTTTTCTCGTTACATCAGTTTTTAAACATTTACATTTGAAACATTCACCCAGTATCAGCATTCATCCATTTTTCCCATAAGCAGGAATTTAAAAAATATAATACAGAATCCCCAGTGCCTACAACACAGTCTGGCACCTTGCACGCCCTTAATAAATACTTGTTGAATTATTAAAGAACAAGTAGAATGACACTGGGCATGTGCTATGTACATTAGTGCAGTATCTAATTTAATGTGCGCACCAGTGCTATGAGGGAGGCACCCTGGCTTTCCTGTTTTCCATAAGCGGAACTGAGATCGCAACTTGCGGAGACCCAGGTCTCTTGCCCCGCGGCCTGTGGGTCAGGACTGACCTATCTCCTCTTTCCCAGCAGGTCCCGAGCAAGGCCGCAGCGCAGGCCGCCGCGCAGGCCGCCGATCCGGCGCGCCCACACGCGTGCGCGGACTGCGGCCGTGCTTTTGCGCGCCGGTCCACGCTGGCCAAGCATTCGCGCACGCACACGGGTGAACGGCCCTTCGAATGCCCCGAGTGCGGCCGGGGCTTCTCGCAGAAGTCGGCGCTGACCAAACACGGCCGCACGCACACCGGCGAGCGGCCCTTCGTCTGCACCGAGTGCGGCCAGCGCTTCTCCCAGAAGTCGGCGCTGACCAAACACGGCCGCATGCACACGGGCGAGCGGCCCTACAAGTGCCCGGAGTGTGACAAGAGCTTCTCCGCCGCCTCCAACCTGCAGCAACACCGGCGGCGCCATACGGGCGAGAAGCCCTACGTGTGCACGCAGTGCGGGCGCCGCTTCGCTCAGAGCTCCAACTACGCGCAGCACCTGCGCGTGCACACGGGCGAGAAGCCCTACGCCTGCCCCGACTGCGGGCGCGCCTTCGGCGGCAGCTCGTGCCTGGCGCGCCACCGACGCACGCACACCGGGGAGCGGCCGTACGCATGCGCCGACTGCGGCACGCGCTTCGCGCAGAGCTCGGCGCTGGCCAAGCACCGGCGCGTGCACACGGGCGAGAAGCCGCACCGCTGTGCCGTGTGTGGCCGCCGTTTTGGCCACCGGTCCAACCTGGCGGAGCATTCGCGCACGCACACGGGCGAGCGGCCCTACCCCTGCACCGAGTGCGGTCGGCGCTTCCGCCTCAGCTCCCACTACGTCCGCCACCGTCGTGCGCACGTGCTGCACCGTCTCTATATCTGCACTGTGTGCGGCCAAGACTTCAAGCTGCCCCCTGGCGTTTCGGCCGCCAGCGTTAGCGAGCGCTGCCCAGGGTGTGAGAGTAGGTGAGCCCCCTGTCGCTGCGGCTGCTAGTGTCTGGCTGAGGAGGCGCATGCCAGGGCCCCGACCCCCAGGGGCTGGACTAACTGGACAAGGACTGCGGGACCCTGGTCTGGGAAAGGGTGGGATGGCAGAACTGGCTGCCCGGGACCTGGGAGACATGGCAAATCCCTTACTGGGATTTTTGGGAACAGTGGCCTCTCCCACCTCACTACAAATCCTCCACCCGTGTTAGTGAATATTAAGTATTATATCCTGACGCACACCTGCCTGTGAATGAGTAGATGGGGAGAGGAGCAAAGTTGGGGTATTCCCCGGTCTTAGGTGACTTAAGTGAATCGTCACGGAACCAAGTGGGTGTCTATAAGCCCAAAAGCGTTCCTGGAACTGGGTTTGTGTGTGTGGAGTCAGGCTGAAGCTGAAGGGGCCGACAGTTTCGGTGCCCTTGCCCCCGCCCTGCCTCCCCAGGCTTCTCCCCACCCACAGCGGACATGTCACCCACTGAGCTGCTGCCCAGATGCACTACGAACCCCCAGCTCAGCTCGGAGCCCGCCTCCAGAGGCTCTGGCCAATCACGGGCGTTAGCGATTGCTTCCGGGGGCGGAGCCGCAGGAAAGGCCAGTTACTTGTGTGGAGCTTGCTATAGGCCGCGCCTTACCCGGACTGGACCAATAGGAGCAAGCTTCAGGCGCGGGCTCATAGGCCTCTGCCCTGGAATGCTTCATTGTTGGCCAAGGATCTTAAAGGTGTGGATACCAAACTGTTTGAGATGTTCTATTGCAGTGGGTCTCAACCTTCCTAATGCCGCGACCCTTTCATACAGTTCCTCATGTTGTGGTGACCCCCAACCATAAAATTATTTTCGTGGCTACTTCATAACTGTAATTTTGCTACTGTTATGAATCGTAATGTAAATATCTGATATGCAGGTTGTATTTTGATTGTTACAAATTGAACATAATTAAAGCATAGTGATTAATCACAAAAACAATATGTAATCATATATGTGTTTTCCGATGGTCTTAAGCGACCCCTGTGAAAGGGTCGTTCGACCCCCAAAGGGGTCACGACCCACAGGTTGAGAACCTCTGTTCTATTGCGTGATTAAGACATGTGTCAGACCAAATGCTAAAATTAAAGCCAGAAAAATGCTCAGTGTGGATGGATTTCAGCAAATCACTGATCATTCTATCTAGAAGACCTCATCAATAATACCTCCATTATTGCTCTCTCCCTCCAGGGAGCATGCCCGTGCCATTCCCCCACAGGAGCGTGTCTCCTAACCTCTAAGGGACCCCATGAGACTTGCAACCAGGGGAGCAATGGGCAGTGTCAGCTCCTCCTGGCTAACCTGCTGAACCTGTCTCCAAGCCCCCTTTTCTCTGACCTCCCAGTGAGCCAAAGCAGCCCAGCCTAGGCTCTCTTGTTGCTTCTATGCCCTTCCTTGTTTCACTGCCCTAAGTATGTTTTTGCTGCACCTCAATACTTGCTTGCTTTTGTACAATAATCCTATATAATCTTTATATATAAAACCCTAATATGCACCCTAACCGGTTTGGCTCAGCGGATAGAGCGTCAGCCTGCAGACTCAAGGGTCCCAGGTTCGATTCTGGTCAAGGGCACGTACCTTGGTTGCAGGCACATCCCCAGTAGGCGGCGTGCAAGAGGCAGCTGATCGATGTTTCTCTCTCATCGATGTTTCTAACTCTCTATCCCTCTTCCCTCCTCTCTGTGAAAAATCAATAAAATATATATATTTTTTAAAAACCCTGATATGCAAATAGACTGAACAGCGGAACAACCAAACAACTGGTCATTATGACGTGCACTGACCACTAGGGACCACGCGTGAAACATGGCGGGTGTTGGCAGCAGGCGGCAGAGTGCGGAACATGGCAGGTGTCGGCCCAGGGCGATGGTGGAGCAGGTGAGTGGAGGTGCCAGACCAAGGCAGGGTGCCAGTCACTGTCATCGGGGCGAGCCTCTAGTGGTTACAGAAAATTCTTTGCTCCCGTGTGCCGTGGTCCCACCTGGTGCTCGCACCTGCTGCCAGCACCGGCCTTGATCACTTGGCACCATCAGCAGGTGCAAATGGCAGCTTCCAGCCCTGATCGCCCCTGAAGCTTCTCCACCTCCCTCTGCTCCTGAGGGGTCACTGGGGCAGCAGTTGCCACTCGCACCTGCTGTTGGCGCTGGGCCCAATCGATCCTTGCCATCAGCGGGTGCTAGCGGGACAGCGCCGTCAGCACTTGGGAGCAGCGGTGGAAGTGGAGCTGCTGGCAGACAGGGGACTGGAGGCTGCGGTGGAAGGGGCCGGGCAGGGGCATGGAGGATGGGCCGAAACCTGCCCCCGTGCCCACCACAGCCTACAGTTCCTTTCAAGGTGCATGAATTCATGCACTGTGCCATTAGTAATAATAGTAATACCTTTCTTATAGAGGTAATGCAAAACCTGGGCCAATTACACAAACATGATGCTTGCCATAAGATGTCAATAGGAATATCAAGAAACCTTAGGTGCCTAACTCAGGAATGGGTCGCTAAAACTATTGCTAAGGCCCTACTGTGAGACTCAGGCTAAGGAACGGTCAATCCCATCTGATAAGCTGTCCCTCTGATAACCAGGCAAACCAAATTTACAAACTTTGGCAATACTTATGCAGTTGTATGCCTCACCTTTAAAATAATTTGAGTCTTACTATGGCTCATGGAAGTTCCATACTCAGTACTGTAATCCAAGTAACAGTCCTAGGTCGGTACCATTAGCATGAGGACCATTTTGTTGATAAGGAAACAGTTACCTAAGCCTTTACCTATTAGGTCTTGTGTTACTGCTTTCTTACTCAGATTTTTGCATTAACACCAGTCAATCCCACCTCCCTTTCATATTTGTAGCTAACTAAGGCAATTTCCAACATTCACAACCCCATCTTGAAGCAAATAAAAACTGTAAGAGGGGGAAACATCTGTAGGTGCCAGATTCCACCAGTGGAAGAGGCAAAGCACAGAGGGCTGGGAGATTGCAGGCCCGTCACTTCCCGTACGGGCATCCGATGGCGGGAAAGGGAAATGATGGGGCAGGGAGAAGGGAAGGGCGCTTGGTTAAGAACCCCAGAAATGGATGGTTTAAGAAAAAAGGGGGCCTAACTGGTTTAGCTCAGTGGATAGAGCATCGGCCTGCGGACTGAAAGGTCCCAGGTTCGATTCTGGTCAAGGGCACGTACCTTGGTTGCGGGGACATCCCCAGTAGGGGGTGTGCAGGAGGCAGCTGATCGATGTTTCTCTCTCATCGATGTTTCTAGCTCTCTACCCCTCTCCCTTCCTCTCTGTAAAAAATCAATAAAATATATTTTTTTGAAAAAGGGGGGGAATTTATTATAAGGATACAAGGATATCTCCAGAGCCCTGGCTGGTGTGGCTCCTCCTGTGCCCTGAAAGATTGCCCATTTGATTTCTGGTTAGGGCACATGCGCATGTTGCAGACTCCATTGGGGGGCTTGTAGGAGGCAGCCCATTGATTTTTTTTTAATTGTTTAAAGTATTACATAAGTCTCCTTTGTCCCTGATTGACCCCTCCCTGGCCACTCCCATCCCCCAGGACAAACCCCCACTGACCCAGGGTCCGTGTCCATTGGTTATGCTAATGTGAATGCATACAAGTCCTTTAGTTGATCTCTTACCCTCCTCCCACCCTCCCCTGCTTTCCCTCTGAGGTTAGATGGTCTGTTCCGTGTTTCTTTGTCTCTGGATCTATTTTTGTTCATCAGTTTATGTTGTTCAGCCCACTGATGTTTGCTCTCACATCAATGTTTTCTCCCTCTCTCTCTCTCTCTCTCTTCCTCTCTCTAATAATAATAAAAAATAAATCTCCAGAATACAGCTGGGCTTTAGGAATGAACTGGAACCAGGGCAGCTGTTTTAAGCATTCTACATATTTAATTCTTAGAGCAACTCATTTAATCCTCACAACAACCTATGAGGTCGGTAATATCATCGTCCTCCTCATTTTACAGATAAGGAACAGAGATATTGAGTCATTTAACAAAGCGGTCTGTAAAGTGGTAGCCAGGTTTCAACTCCAGGCAGTTTGGCTCAGAGCCTGTTTGGCCTACACTAGTAGTATATTGGGTCAAATGGTAAGTACAGTACTACGAAAACAAATTTTAAATGTATTTAAACATTATGAAGAGTGGGGGCAACTTTAGATTGCATGGCCCAGGGAAGATACGGTAAGGACTGTTTATCTACTCAACTGCCCCTTTTGTATTGGGCTGCATATCTGGCGCTTTGGCCAGACAGGTCAAGCTGTGCTGTCTGTTCCTAAAACACACAGATAGGAAGGTACTGACATCAGGCCAGTCCTTGAGATATGGTCTCATGGCCCCTTCCCAGCATGCAGGCCGTCTTTCTCAGAAGGCCCGGAAGTCTCATTCCAAATTTGGGAGACAAAGGACTGGATAAAGTATAAATAAATAGAGTGTCCTCTATATTGGGGGCCCAGAATTTGAAAGACACATTTTTCTCTGGGCCTACACAGAATTTAATAATAAAATGTAACCCCTGTAGTCTGCGCTGCAGTTCAGCCTCTGCTTCGGCAGGGTGCTGTAACTGTAGTCAGCTGGCCAGCTTAATAAAGGCTCTTAAATTTAAATTCTGAGTCGGTGGTCTATCTCGCTGAGTGAACCCATAACACTTTTCACACCTTCGTCTTTGCAGAACAGTGATTTTATTCTGGGGTCCATGTCCGCTACTTGATTATGTGGGTCTGTTGTAGGCGGCAGGAACCGCACCGGGTGTCTGACCAATGAGGTCCGATCAAATCTGGGTTCAGCAATCTCAGTACTTGGGTTCGGGCTAAGAAGAAATTCAGAGCCAAGAATCAAACTGTAAGAGAATATTTATTTGGTAAATCATGGTGTAGAAAAGGTAATTCCTAAAAGAAATGGGCTTAGGAAACAAGTTATAGAGGTAAAGGAGGAGCCCTTGGAGGTTGCGAGCTAGGAAGCTAATGGTAATGTGCCTGAAGTGGGGAGGGATGGGGTAGGGTGGGGTGGGATGGGGTGGGGAAAGACAAGGGCATGACCCTGGGAGGGAGAGCACACTGGATCGTCCGTCCTAAGGGTTTTAAGTGTGGAGATTTTAGGGGAGGTCCCAGGGGAAGATTTCAATAGAATAGTCATCATGTTTTCAGGTGTGTCCTTTCAGGGTTGTGGTCTCCACTGATTGATTGATCAGCGCCAGGGCAAGGGGTCATATTCAATGCAGCTGGTCCTGAGGTTGGTTTTGTTGCTTATCTGGGCCTGAAGAAATACAACTGAGGCCCTAGCCAGTTTGAATCAGTGGACAGAGCGACGGCCTGCAGGCTGAAGGGTCCTGGGAGGCAGCCAATCATTGATTATTTCTCATCATTGATATTTCTCTCTCTCCCCCCTCTCCCTTCCTCTCTGAAATCAATAAAAGTATATTTAAAAAAATAAAAAAGGGGAAATACAACTGAGGTGAAGATGTTATCTCTAGGGAGGAAAGGTCAGAGGGCCCAAACCTCATGAGCAGCGATATGCTAGGGGAGGAAAGGTCACCCTGGGGGCAAAGTCTTGCCCTATAATTGATTGGTCCCTGCTAGGCACCTGGGGCTTCCCACTGGTGACCTTTTGTACTTGGCCAATCCTCCTTGCTCTGCTCATGTCCGTCTGATTGAACAGCCCCATTGCCTTACTATTGATTGGTTTACGGGTGAACATGTGGCCGAGTTCTTGACAAGAAGGAGAGAGATAAAGGAAGTCTATTAGAGACTCCTAGGGAAGGTTCTTAATTCTTTTTTAGTTCTTTTTTTTAAAAAGACATAGTAAGTTTCTACCTTTGAAGTTGGTATGTGAGGATTGGATTATGAGGAGAGCTAGCCCACC